CCCCCCCCTTTTCCCTCAGAGACCTTCGCGTCAGACAGACGGACAAGCACGGTTCTTGACATCGATTGGGACGCGCTCGTGGCTGACAGTGTTCTAGTTGGTCTCTTCAAAGCAGCTCACGACCTTCTCCGACTTTCGAGCCAAGGAGACGGGCGACTTCCTCAAGGCGGTCCAGTATGCGCAGTACCTCGAGGACTACGTCACGCACTTCAAGCTGTGGCCGCACATCAACCTCCTGACGCGCGTGGTCGAGGTGCGCAAGCGGCCCGAGGGCGGCCACACCATCTTGTACCAGCGCGTCAAGGACCAGCGGCACAGCGGCTTCGAGAGGGACACCGACGGCGACGTGCAGGAGTGGGACTGCGACGCCGTGGCCGTCTGCTCCGGCCTGCACGTGCTGCCCAACATGCCCAAGATTCCCGGGCTGGAGCGCGTCCCCGAGGTGCTTCACTCGTCGCAGTTCAAGGCGCGCTCGCAGTTTGGAAAGGACAAGACCGTCGTCGTGGTCGGCACGGGGGAGACGGGCGCCGACGTGGCACACCTGGCCATCACGTCGCCGACCAAGAGGGTCGTCCTGTGCCATCGCGAAGGATTCCACATTGCGCCCAAGGCAAGTTTGACCGCCCCCGCCCTCCTTTGCACGATGTGTCCGGCACAGTCGGAGTCGAGGCGTGAGGAGGCGAAAGAATGGAAAGGAGAGTTGGCTGACTGACCGCGGAACAGAGGAATCCCGGCCCCGTGCTGCTGCCGTGCCTGGGGAGGAAGCTGAACCCCAACGAGCCGGGCATTCCCATCGACGTCAGCAGGACGAACCTCTTCGACACGACCTACGTGCACCCGATCCTGCGCAACAGCTTCGTGCTGTGGGAGTACTACCACTGGTACGTCTCGTCGCTGCTCTGGGTCTCGGCCGGGTCGAACTGGGGCATGGACCAGTGGGTGGGAGAGATGCCCCCTGAGCGACACCACCCAGCTAGGAGTGAGTTGAATGGAACCCCCCCCCGCGCCTGCTTCCCCTTGGAATAAACGACGTGGAGACGGGGGAAAAACGCTGACAGCGGCACGCACAGTCTTCTTCAACAAGACGGCCATGAAGATTTGCCCGTACATCAGCGGGCCCTACAAGGCCAAGTATCAGAAGAGCTGGCTGTACCGCATCCGCAAGGCGCTGATGCAGACGCCCATCCCCGAGGGCAACGGCCGGGTGATTGACCTCGCGCCGTGGCCCAAGGCCATCAACGAGGACGGCACCATGACCATCACCAACAACGGGCGGCCCGAGTACGAGCGGCTCAAGGACGACGTCATCAAGCCCGACATCATGGTCTTCGCAACGGGCTACTCGCAGAGCTTCCCCTTCTTCAAGGCCAAGGGCAAGGACAACAAGATCGAGTACCCCGTGCCCAACGAGGCCGACGTGCGCAACATCTGGAAGCGCGACGAGCCCGACGTCGGCTTCATCGGGTTCCTGCGCCCGGGCCTGGGCGCCATCCCGCCGCTCGCCGAGATGCAGGCCCAGCTGTGGGTGTACAACCTCCTGGCCGGGGATCCCCTCTCGGCCAAGCTGCGCCCCGAGGACGAGCCGCACTACCGGCTGCAGCCGCTCAACAACGCGCGCATCCACTACGGCGTCGACCACGAGAGCTACGTCTACCAGCTGGCCATGGACATGGGCTCCGCGCCCGGCGTCACCGACCTGCCGCGCATCCTGCTGGGCACGACCGTCTACGGCGGCGGCGGCACGCTGGCCTGCGGCCGGACCTGGTTCCGCATGCCCATCGTCTGGGCCCTGGGAGCCAACTTTGTCACCAAGTTCCGCCTGCAGGGCCCGTGGGCCTGGGACGGCGCAAAGGACATGATGGCGAGCAAGGAGTTTTGGGAGACGATTACCCGACGGCCGTACTTTTTCGGTGAGTGACGGACCCCTTTCCAACATTGAACATGGGACTGGCCCCCTTTCCACGACATGTCCCCCCTTTATTACTGCCGTGCTGACGCGTAATGGCGACTCACAGGCCACATCGTCGTCAACATGCTGCCGCTGGCCGTCTTTGGACCCATGAGCTTCGCCGTGTGGTGCTACGCCACCGTCATGGAGGTGTTCGCCTTCCTCTTCGGCCTGCAGCCCGGCAGCGGCGCCTCGCCGAGCGGCGCGAGGCTCAGCGCGCTCACGCTCGTGGCCGCCATGGTGCTCTCGGCGGCGTACCTGTTCCAGGACGCCATCCCGGGGCGGGACGGGCTCGGCTCCGGGCTCGGCGGCTTCGGGACGGGCGTGGGCGACGCGTGGCGAGGCATGCGGGCGGCCGTCCCCAGCGTCGGGGCTGCCGGCCCGCGGCGATGAGGGTTGCGCTGAGCAGTCCCAGGTTCCCCTGGGTGTTGTCTGTGTGCGTGTGTGTTCCAAGGTGCAGGAGGGGCGTTCTTTGGGCCGGAACTGGGGAAGGGGGATTTTCTCGACGCGGCATCTTGGCTGGCAATTGCATCGCTGGGGTTTCTTCCATTTTGATGGTACGGGTCATGAGATGATGAGAGCTGCACTCGGCGACTGCAGCGTGGCAATCGCTGCTGGGCGGCGCACATACTTTTCCTAGCTAACGCAAACAAAAGATGGAATTCACGGATGAGACAGCATGTGTGCGTGGAGAGGTGTGAACGGAGTCTCGCTCACGCGGCGCTCGCTGCTGGCGGAGAGACGCGGCTTCAGCTGGACCTTGGCGCCAAGGTGTCCCCAGGTCAGACGGAGGAACAAAGATTGCTACCAAAGAGGTCAACGTGGTTGCCAAAGAGCAGAGTGATTTGTTATTAAAGACCCCGTGCCGCCGCTCCTCCGCCGACCGGATCGGCGTGGCTTCACTCGCTGCTGCAGCTTCGAAGGCACCTCGCGGAGAATATCCAGATTCCAGCAACCCTAGACGTCTACGGCACGGCCGCGAGAACAATCAGCATGCCGCTGCCGGATCAGGCATTCACCATTACGGGGGGCTGCAACTGCGGGAGCGTCCGGTATGGCACATGTATTGCGGCGCCTGGCCAACGGCGCAGATGTTGTAGGCAGTTGGGCTGCAGGTCACTAACAAGATACACAACGACGACGCAGATATCGCATCGCCGTCCCGTCGCTCGCAGACCGGCCCCCGGCGTTTACTCTTGGGGCCGACACCGACCGCCCCGGCGCGCCGCGCGTCCCTCACGTCGTCAGCTGCCACTGCTCGGACTGCCGCGCCGCGTCGGGCCAGCCCAGCATGGCGGCCATCGTGGCGGCGGCGCACATGGTCACCGTGTCGGCGCTGAGCCTCTCCGCCGAGGACGCCGCCGCCCAGGCGATCACGGGCCGCGTGGTCGACAAGCCGACGAGCGAGGGCGAGGTCGCGGCGGCGGACGCGTCGCCGTCGCGGCCCGCGTACGTGCCGGCCGTCGACGTGCTCCGGCCGGGCGCGCCGCGGTCTCACGGCACGACGCTGCGCTTCTTTCACGCGTACATGTGCGACGGCGAGGTGGCGTCGCGGAGCTTCTGCGTGCGCTGCGGCGGGCCCGTGGCCTTCCACTACCGGCCCAAGGCCGAGTGGCTGGGCGCGACGTGGTTCCGGCCGCCGCACGGGTGGGACGACGTCGTCGACGTGCTGCTGGGGACGGTGGACGCGCACGTCCTCGACAGGGACGACTGGCTCGCGGTCGAGCACGAGCTGTTTTGGAAGGAGGCGCTCGGCTGGGTGAAGCGGGAGCGCGTGTCGGGCACGAGGGGGGTCTCGAGGCATCCCGAGGGAGCCCTGGGCCAGGTTGAAGCGGCGCTGGACGGGTAGGAAGCAAGCATGAGTGCGGTGCGGCGTGGACTGGCGGCAGCACCCCGTGTAGGCAACTGTGCTTTGCATTGACGTTGCAAAACCCATCAATACATGTACCTGCATGACCAACCCGTTTTGCATCATACCAAGATTACTTTGTGTGCTTCTGCGCGGCCCTCCCCTCGCCCCTTTTCTCAGACCGCATGCCCCTGACTCCTGCCCAAGAAGTCGTCAACCAGCTTCGTCGACTCGGCCACGAGTGAGGGCGGATGGGCCATCTCCGGCTCGTACGCCCCTGCCTCGCAATACTGGACCGCCGCCGCCTCGGACTCGTCGGCGCTCGTCGCGTCCTCCAGAGCGGGCAGGTCGCGGTCGTCCAGGTCCGCGATGTGGCCCGACAGATCGATCCAGAGGGACGTCAGCTCGGGCACGAAGCTCACGTCCCCCATGGGGATCTCGTGCAGCCGATGGAGCTTCTCTTTGATCTGGCCATGGCCAAGGTCAGACAGAGAGTCTGGCAAAAAGACGTTGTACTACACTGCGCGACATGGAGCTGGTTGAGCGGGCCTTGCACGTACGCTGATGTGATCCAGTCGGTATCGCTCCAGCCGCTCGCCGTCATCCGGCAGCACCTGGCGGATGAAGGGGAGAAGCACGAGCTTCTCCTTGACGACGCATTGACCGACGCGCGTCATGAACGTTTCCCGGGCAGCCGGCCCGTCGGCATCCTCGGTCGCAGCCACGACACGATGGTAGATTTCCACCACCATGTCATGGTCATCCTTGACGGCTTCGGAGAGCAGCATCATGCGTCGATGGCTGGGCCGACCATGCGAGAGGAGAGTCAATGGCTGTTAATTTTTGCTGCGGCTGCTGCTACGGCGTAGGGGTCCAGTGCAGTGCCCTGAATGAATACCTGAATGTCGACTGCTACCGTTCTGCAAATGGATCCCGTGTCGTGCGCTGCGCCGTCTGTCCTGAAAGTCGTGTGTGACGTGGGCTTGACGTAACGGGAAAAGCCTATCCAGACATGGAGTGAGGCGGGTTAGTTGTCATCAAATTCACACATACACACAGCAACGCGCGCTGTTTGCAATCGGTCGTAGCCTGCATGGCAATGTTTACGTGCTTTGTATTGCCTAGCTTTGGCGCAAGAACCTGTTCAAAGCCGTTCGGCAGATGATCCGCTTGGCCCGTCTCCATGTCAATTCCAGTCGCGTCCCAGCACCGGCCAATGTAGGCCGCATCCACCGATCTGAGCCAAGCGATCCTTCACATCGTCCGACGGCATGGCCGCCAACGCAGCAGCCCAGTCTCACTGGGGACTACGTTTTGCTGATGAGTTTAAGAAGTCCAGATATTCCGAGCGTGAGGCTACAAAAGATGACAAGACCGAGGCAGAGACCCATGAGAAACATGACCCACCATTGAAACCAACGGCTGCCAAAGAGCTGGGTTTCTAGCTTCGTTATGTTCTCGATATTGGAGGCAGGATTGGCATCCTGCTGGGTCTTGAACCAGGCCATGGACTCCAAGGTAGGTCTCACAATAGCACTGATCCTATTGTTCGGGCCGTCGTCCTGAAGGAAGGCCTGCATGTCGGACAGTGCCGTCAGTGGCGCCTGTGGAGTCGCCTCGGGGCCACAGGTACCTTGTTGAGACCGATAAAGGCGGAGTGGAATTTGGTCTGAAGCTTGCGACTCCATCTCATCACCTTCGTTTTGCGTGGCATCATGCGAGTTTGTCTCTAAATCATGTTAGTTCACGTCGTGCGACAGATGAAGGTATTGCAAAGAGGAGACATACTCCATAGCTCGTCGAGAAATGATGACACAGGCAAAGCCAGGAGTAGAAGAGACAGGACTTGGCCAAATCCCCAATTGTCTTCGAAGCCCTCGCACCAAAATATTGAATGACTTCGCAGACCCAGGATATCTTGTAGCCCAGAGGCGAACATGTAGATGACCCTCAGCAGCGTCAAGGCGTGCGAGAACAGTACCTCTCTAATCGAGAGGGCGACAGTGGCGAGGGCAAGCCAGCAAAAGTTTGATGCGTCGCGGAGAAACCCAGTAGGTAGTCGACGTTGAAGCTTCCGGCGAGCAGGCCACCACAAGAGAAAATGCACCCAGGCCATAGCTGCTTGTGCGGCTCGACAGTTTGTTACCCCGGGAAAGAGCATAGAAAGAATGGAGCACAGGCCCCAAAGCAGTGCCCCATTCTCAACAATCAGGTTAGCGACTACCGTCCTCGACAACGTGAAGACTGTAATGTCCTTCAGAGTGACTTCGACCATAGGATCACACCAGGTCACCTCGTCCGTCTCTTTCGCAAACGCTTTACTATAGATGCTGGTGTTAGTGAAACCCACTCCCACAAAGAGGCCCAGAAGCCACAATGACCGCCAAAGGCGCATGTAGAGTGGCGTGTCCTTCGCCTTGTCCGCCACAATGACGAAGATGGCCTGATATGACACCAAGGCCATGTATGCGAGATTGGTGACAGTATAGTAGTCAAACCTGGAGACCGAATTTGTCTTTAGGCGTAGTACTATGAGCAAAGAAGCCCCAGTGATGAGCTGGGTGTCGGCTAACACCAAGCATATGTTTTGCAGCGCGGCCCCTGAGAGATGCACGACGCGGCGCTCGTACAACTTGGCAAGGCTTCTGCGAATCGAAAGGGGCAACATGAGCTGGACCAGTGGTAGGAAAACCACGTTGCGGATTGAGTTGCGCAGGTGGCGTGCGTGCTGCCAAATAAGGCGGTCCACCAGCGTGTGATGCGTCGTGGTAGCGACGTCCGAGACAAAGAGGTAGCAACAACATGCGAGAAGAATCGTAGTACCCGCGTAGATGAAGGAAGAGATGAGCATCTGTTGAGAAGGGTCGTCAACGCGCGTTCTTTCCAAGCGTCAGCTTGCATATGGACAAGGACGTCGGCATACCCCTAATCCCGCCTTGCCTCAGGTCAGCACTTGATGCATATCTTGGTAGTGCGTCACGGCCTCCACAAGGAAAGAGAGGGCACAGCCTTGCGGCGCAATGTAAAAGAAACGCGAATCGAGAGGCAGACTCACGATGTCCCTATCCTGCGGGGGATTTGACGAGGTAGTGCACGAGGGACTGGCTGAGGTGGTCATTGTTGGACTGAATGAGGCAGGGACCGAGGCCCCAAACGAAGCATTGACGGAGGCATGGCCCATGGTGAGTGCCATTGACGAGTGCTGCACGGCTCGGGTGAGCCGGGAGTTTGCTTTGGACGGCGGTCCGCGTGAGTCTTGTATCTGTGCTGTCTTGTGTCGGAGGCTGGCGTCCAGGACAGCGCATGGTCGAGCATTTGCCAGCAGCAGCACCGGAAGGTCGACCTCTAAATACTCGTGCAGCTCGTTCCCGTACCCAAGTTCATGACTTGGGGCGTGAAGAAAGGGCTGCACTGGGAGCCGAGGACGCCAATGCTTGCCTGTTTGCTTCCGTCGGATTGAGGCCTGCATGGGTCTGAAGTTCGAATGCTCGCAGCCGTCTTCGTTCGCAGATCCAGGGCGCGCTCCATCAGATCCAGCCTTCGGGACGGATTTGACGTGTTGCCCTTCTCAGCCAGGGTCAATCCCTGCAGAGTTCAATTTCGTAGTAATATTGTACATGCAGGCACGAGTCGAGTTGATGTTTGGAAAGAAATGTGAGGTCAAGGCCATAGCGGCGTTCTGGGGTCTTGGTGTCGACCGCGCTCGAGGTTTAGTTCGCAGTACATGGAGACAGAAGACCTGGGGCTTTGAATGCATTGTCGTGTACTTGATCGCCGCTTCAATTGATGGCTGCCGGGAGTCTCTCCGCCAAAGTACGAATGTCACACTGGTCTGAAGAACGGCCCGCGAGCAGTTGAGTCCAAGAGGCAGGCTCCACGTTCAACACAAGATTCTCCAGAGCCAACATGGAAAGAACGACTTCTACGGCTGAGCGGGGCTTTGACAGCCGGTGTGAGAGGCTGTCTATGCGGCATGCTGCTGCTCACCGTTGGCGTCCAAATACATGTACTGGTTTTGAACCTGACGCTGCACATGAGGGACACAAAGTTGCCATGACTGGCCTGCCGCTGATCGTCCCCGCCGCCACCGAGGGACAACCGGTCCCTGGCTTCCAGCCCCAAGGCCGGGAATGAACGAGAGAAATTCGTGTGACACTTCAACGATGGCCTCAATCTGAAAATTCGATTCGTCGTCTAGAGCTCTGAAGATGCATTGCATCAAAAACGATGTACCGGAGCATGGCAATCGCTGCAAGAGGCGATGGGCCCGTCATAAGGTCGCGTGCATGTGGCCTGCATGGCGGATTGAGACCTTCATGACAGCGTAAGACAAAACGCACCGGCACTTGACATTTTTGACACCTGGGTTGCATCAGTTCGTTCATGTTGCCTGAGATGGGGGGCCGGGGAAAGGGCAAAGCACGCGAATGACCAGACCAAGCCGCAGTTTGCTCTGCGGCCTGCTCTTGCTTATGGACGGCGAGCTGGACAGGGGCAAAGCCGCGTCAGAGACCTCGCCCGGAACATGAAGGCAGCCACGGCGAGGCCGGTCATAAAAGCTTCCCCCTTGTTTGAAACGGATTGGCTCCGCCCGAAGGAATATGCAGTGCTCAGGACAGCGAAATCCTAGCCCGGGCAAACATGCTGGAACTGGACCGAGCGTTCAGCGCCTGCTGCGTTCATTGGTCAAGGTACGCTGCGATGCGGCATTGAGCTCTGAACCACGCGTCGCGTGGCTGTGTCGCACGGCGCCTTCTGTCGTGCGCTTTTGTTTGGCACAGGGCCAACCCTGGACACGTGCCTACACTTTCGACCACGACTGCGGATTTTTATTGCCCACGCGTGCCGTAGCAAACCACTGCTTTCAGCAGAGCTGAATCACTGACCAAACTTGCCGCGCGGGATGGAGTAAGCACAAGTCGTCCTGTCTAAAATTGGCGAGCAGGGAGCTCCTCTCACCGTACCCTGCGGAAGTGCGTGGCGCCGAGGCGAAACTGGGCAGCCCGAGGGAGCCCAGGGCCTCTGCGAGAGACTGTGAGCAGAGGGAGGTAGGAGGAGATACAGCACGAGTAAAGGACGGCTGTCCTGCTCAGAGAGTTCTAAAGGAGACTTGACTTCAGCCCAATCTGATGTTACCGTAGATAGTGTGACCACATGCAAGCCGTTCAGGGCAAACCGTGTTCTGCCACGTGCAGTGTCGAGGTCAACGGCCGTGGTTCATGTTGCCAGCTTCACGCATGACATCAATGCTTGACACTCATTTCGGGACTTCGATTTCGATGAGTCATACAATTAACAAGGTCATTTTCCCTTTCGTATACATGTGGTTTGTGGGGTACGACACTCTCCAGCTCACGAAGCTGTCTCTTCTCCGACTGATTTATGATCTCTCTCTATATATAGCTTTACATGCGACAACACCTGCGAAGCTTCAAAATAGGGCACATGACTGTCTCAGACGATAGACCGAAACAGGCTTGTCAAGATAGACGAATCCCCAGCAAGGACGCCTCGCCCCCGCGTGGGCCGTCATACCAGAAGGAACATGAATACGTGTTGCGTCGTTTCGTCCCTGCCCCCAGCGCCACCAGGGAATTGCGCGCTCAGTGTTTTCAACGAGACGTAGACTGCCCCGTCAGGCGATCCGTGGACTCATTGTATATATGTAGCACACAGTATAAAATAAACCCAAGAGATCCCGTACAATTTGCAGAGACATCGTCCTTTCTTCATCCATGAACGACGCAGCGCAGCCTACCCTGGACACTTTCCCCCAAACGCTAGAACCGACCGCAGAGGTATCACACTAGAGGGTCTCGCCACCTTGATATAAACTTGAGTGGCTAAAATGTCTCCATTAGATGCGTTTCCAACTTGCGCTCACTGCTGCCGCTCTTTTCGCCTCTGTGGATGCCGCCGGGAACCCCGAAGCGATTTGGAAGATGGAAAAAATGAGAGCGTATGCGAAAGGCTTCGAGAGCGAACCGGAGAAAGGGTGCGACAAAAAAAACGGTTTGGCTAAGGAAACCAGCCAAAAGGTAGACAAACACAGGACCTTCGTAAATGGACAGCTTATAAGCTGCCGTCCAATACAAGGGAAGGAGCCTGCTGGACTTTGCATGTTCCTGAAGGAGTTCAAGAAGAAGGAAATTTCCGGCAAGGAGGTTTGGGAACTTGCAGTTGCCGCCACCGCTGGAGTTTCTGGGTGTGGTGTTGCATGGTCAAAGCACGATGGCGTAGACGGGGGAGGCCTCGCACTCGACTACGTGAAAGACGTCAAAGGGTGCTCGGGGCTTTGTCGGCATTAAGGGCGGGCTACGGAGACGCGGCAGGGTGCCGACGGAGAGCTTTGGTGAAACCAAGGATGGGCTGGATAACTGTACATATGCAAGACGTGTCAATGTGATCAAATGGCAAATGACGGAGTACCTAGGAATGACTCTATGCGTGGGCTGCACCGGACCCTGGCGTGCTTTAGTCGTGCTCCCCCGCTGGTCGGGGAATTCGCACGTGTGAAAAGATTGGGTGCATTCCTCCTATTACACGCTCCCTTTGATTGCGAACGGTCCTGAGGCGCATCCCGTCACGCCAAACTCGTATCTATGCAAGTCCACGTTACAGCGACGAGCCGTCTATATACTGTCACTTTTCATAGCTGATTGCGGATGTGGAGCTTTGATACTAAGCATGTTTGTCCCAGTCCGCATTGCTATGCTCCCTCCATGCGCTGGGATGGTTGCGTGTTGTCTGCATCTGGACTCTGGAAGGGGCCTTGGCAATTGAGGGGCCTCGAAGCTCCTCTCGCGACTTGTAGTACGTGAGGAGGCGGGTTTCATGGTTGGCCGTTGCGGACAGAGGGGAGATGGAAAGCACCCAATTGCATGTGGCCGCCGTAGGTAAGTAAAGGTCGGTAGGCGTGGGCCAAGACTCGCGAATATTGAGACCAGGCCACCCCGCCTTGGACATGACGAGCCTCGCCCCAAGCACTACTCTTCGGCTCCTTCTAGCTGGCAACCTAGTGCATCTGTCTGAGCGGGTTCCGACTCGTCGACGGCCTCTATACCCTTCCTTCTTCCTCTTTCTGTTCAAGAAAGGGGGTTTTCAACACATCAACATAACGTTATGCCGGTGTCGAGGCCAACGACTATCGTTTCATGGTGCTCGTTTCACGCATAAAGTTGACACGTATTTTAAGACTCCGACGTAGATGTAGCATAAAAATGGCTAAGCGCCTTGCATAATTATGGGGCTAGGTCGATCCAAAACGTACGACACGGCAGGCGCTATGCCGTGCTCCTTCTTCGGCTACTACTTACGCCACCTATATATAACGGAGCCTAGGTAGGGTCCTAAGGTTTACTGTTACTTAGGAGGTAAGCTAGGTTTAATGAGTAATAAACGTTTCAATAAGAATCTATTAAGAAGCTTTAAAGACTTCTTATTTAGATAAATACTTAGATTAATCACTAAAGATCTAGCTATCTACTCTTAGGTAAAGACTATAGTATATATATCTATCTAGCTCTTCTATAATCCCTTTAATTATATATTAATTACTTTAATCCGTAGTATTAATTAAGGTAATCGAGATATAATCCTTTCGATTACCTTTAATTATCCTTATAATTATATAACTCTTAGAGTCCTTCTCGGTTACCTATCTTTACTTAATTAGCTAATGGGCTACTTTATATCTAGTATCCTTAATTAGGCTAACTCCCTCTTATATATAGCGTTTATAATATTATTCCCCTCTTTCTTTAGTCTTACCTTTAAGGCTATATAAATAAGTCGCGTTACCTTTATATATATAAGTTTATTTCTTTCCTTTACTATAGCCTATTATATCGTCTAACTATATTTCTAAGTAAAGAGCGAAAATGAAATTATCGTCTGTTTATCGTAATAACCTTCTTACTTCGATCCTTAATAACCCCTATATCCTTACTATATTATTATATTTATATTATTAATCGCGGGGCTTAATATAATATTAAGTGTCGCTACTTAATTCTAGCCGCTATATATAGTATATTAAAGATAACTAGTCTTAATATAACGTCTTAAGGATATCGCTATTATAATTATAAGGTATCGTTAAATAATATTCGAAGTTAGAATAGGAGTTAAAGGAGGCCGAGGAAAAGGCCTTAGCTAAATAATAATAGGTATTATAGCTTTATAAGTAAAAGAAGATATAGTTTAAAAAAATAATATAGGCTATCTCGTAGGGGATCGATAGTATCGAGGAGCTAGAGCGGGTTAAGCGAGAGGAGGCCGAGAAAGAGTAGCGTCGTATCGAAGAGGCTCGTCTTACTTTAACCGACTCTAAGCGGCTTCCTTTAAGGTTTATTAGAGAGTAAGATATAGTTTATCTTAAGGTTACGTTATCTCCTTTAGTTTTAGCCGAGTTTAGTTTTATTAATAGAATTAATATATTAACTAAGGGCACTTCCTTAAGTAAGAGCTAGGTTCCTATATATTTTCTATATAGTTATAGCCTTCCTATTTAATAAAATATTCTATCCCTTATAATATTCTCTATAAATCTAGTATTTATTTAACGTTATATTCCTAGGGTTCTTTAATTTCGATATTTATTTTAAGGGCTGCCTTCTTTAGCGCTAGTTTTAATAGCGAGATATAAAAAATAGGGTATATCTTTATTTCTTAAGGTAGGGATAGTTTATAGCTAATATCTAATAGTTTCTTTTAGATCTTAAATAATTTAAGTTTCTTTTAGTTAAGCTTTTCGTTAAGTCGTTTTATTTTAATATTTCGTTAGAGGAGATATACTTTATCCCTTTCCTTTAGAGTTAGTCCTTTTAATCTCTTTTAATTAGCGTAATACTTTATTCTATTTTAAAGGAAAATCTATTCTTATTATAAATAAGCGTATATTTATTAAAGCGATATAGCTATTTTCGTTACTTATAGTATATCGACTTTTAGTTATTAAACTATAATTATAGGGTTATACCTATAGTTTACTTTAAATAGTATTATTTTAATCGCCTTATTATTTAAGCTATTATAAGCCTATTATACTATAAGTAATAGTTTTACTTAATTATCTTAGTTATAGTTAATATAAGATCGTAGATATTATTTAAGCGTTTAGTTAAGTTATTTTATCTACTTATTTATTTATAAGTAAAATATAGTTAATAAGGAGTACTTAATCCTTAGTTATTATATTAAACTTATCTAGAACTTTAATATAAATAGTTTATCTCTATCTATAATAATCCTCTTTAATAGCTTATATTAACTAATTATAATCTTTAAGAATATAAAGGCGATATCTTTTACTATACTTAACTCCTTATATAGTATAAAGTAGGTATACTTTATAAGTTTCTCTATAATGACTAAAATACTATCGAAGATAATATTAATTATTAATTCTTTAGACGGAAGTAATTTAACGATAAAGTCTATCGCGATTATATACTATACCTTATTTAATAAGGAGATTAGCTAAAGCTATCTATAAAGTATATATCGGTTTGCCTTTACTTTATTATAGATATTATATTCTTTAACGATTCTTTAGGTTATCTTTCTCGACTCGAGGAAGTCTTAAGTTCGTTATAACCTTATAAAGGTCTTATAAATCCCTTAATATCTATATAATTAATATTTATAAAATTCTTTAATAAGTTTATTTTATAATACCTTAAGAATATAATAGTAGCTATTAAATAAGATTATATCTTATTCTTTTAAATATATTAAGTTTATTTCTTAATTATTAATAAGTTTATTGTTTTTATAGGCTTATTTAATATATTAAATCTACTCTTAATTAGGTTTAACTTTCTATATTATATTAACTTATTAGCTACTTAATTATAAAGTTCTTTAGCTAGTTTCTTATAGGATTATAGCCTTTTATATTTCTATTGGTAGTTTAAGGTCTTTTTAGTAGCTAAGAGTATTAACTCGTTTATTCTCGCTACCCTTTCGATAGATAATCTTAAAGTTAAACTCTAATAGGAATTTATATTATCTAACTTACTATTTATTTAGCTCTTTTATTATCGTAAAGTTAGTTAAGTTCTTATAATTAATATAAACTCTAACTATCTTAGTTATATTATTTAGGTAATATTTCTATTCTTTAAATACTTTAATAATAACTATAAGCTCTTTATCGTAAATTAAGTAGTTAAGTATTAGTCTATTAAGCTTCTTTAAGTAAAAGGCAATTAGGTATAGTCGTCCTTATTTATCTCGTTATATTAATTATCCTTTAAGTACTTAATCTAAGGTATCGGTTTTAACTTTAAATAGTTTTAATAAGTCTAATAAGGCATAAATAAGTTCTTTTAGTATCTTATTCTTAATAATATTAAATACTTCTTATTCTTTATTACCCTAGATAAAACTTTAATCTTTCTTAGTTAAGTCTATTAAAAGGATAGCGATACCCTTAAAGTTCTTAATATATTATCGGTAAAAGTTTATAAAGCTAAAGAAGGCTTATACTTCTTTAACGTTCGTTAAAGGTAGCTAGTCCTTAATTACCTTAATCTTATTAAGGTCTATATCGATAAATCTAGGTATAATTTTATACTTAAAGAACTTAACTTTCTATTTATAGAATTTATACTTCTTTACTTCAATAAAGAGGTTTACTTTCTTAAGTTTCTATAAGATCTTATAGATATATCTTTAATATTCCTTAAGGGTCTTCGAGAAGATAAGGATATTATT